GCGAAAGTTCTCAGGTTACACCCCTTTTACCTCACATATTCTGATTCCCCATAAAAAATTGGTCTAGAAAAACCATATGAGAATTTCTACCTCTCCAAGTGGCACCTATCTCAGTTATAGCCTGGTCTAGTAAGCCTTCTTAAGTCCACCCCTGATAGAAGAAAATGAACCAACCACTGAACTACAGCTCTGAAATACAGTGTATGGCATGTGCTTGCGCCTGGCATGAAACTGTACTCATATCTGGTGCTGCTAACCAGCTTTTAACCACTTGATGTGATCCATCATTCGATATGACTTGTTCTCTTTAGGAGAGAGCAGTTTAGCTCAGTCGGCTAAACTGGTGGTAGCCATTGTGTGCGCGCTGAACTGTGGAGATCTCATGGTCCCTGGTTCATTTCCCATCTATGCTCTCCCAGTGTTTCAGCTGGAGGGCTGAATAAAAGTTACAATAGCGGGCCATCTTTTCGGATGAGATGTTTAAGCTGTTAGCCCCGTGTACATTATGGCCCATGTGCACGTAAAAGAACGCAGTACAATCTTCAAAAAAAGAGTACTGCCAAATCACCACCAGAAGGACCCCACTGGAAATAAGTCTTCTTCAGACTTTCATGGGTTATCCTTGGAGTTTACACTGAATAAATCCTATCCAATACTATTTGAAGATGTTGATCAATCAGAAATCGGTGTTATGTTAGTCAAGGGCTCAGATCGCATTCAAAACTTTCCTGGTGTAGTGTTGTGGGCGTAAACATCATGCTTGTTTACAGGGCAGCTCATTAACTTCTGGCAATGAAAAATCAATCTCAACTTAGCAAATGTCTTATGTCAAAAAACATAAGATGTCCCAGCAAATATCTTAAGATGATTTATCAAACCATATTAGCAAAATCTTAATGTAAAAGTCGTCTTAGATGGCGCATGCATACAATCAACTTCTTAATTTTAAGGAATTTTTAAGGCTTAAAGCCATATTGACAAATCAGACTTAAGCAAAAAAATGGACTTAAGACGAATTTAAGCTGATTCCTAGTTTGACAAATCGAGTCACGCTTAGAGTGAGTCACAAGTGTGAACAGACATTGTTTGTTTGTTTACTTACTGTGTATTCTGAGGTTTCAATGCTGCCTAGTGTCGGATTTGTTTCAACCATGAAGCTGAGAAGACCTGTAAGAATTGTTGACACAGACCAAGTTGGGTTCCATGTGTCTGGATGGAAATCACTGATGGATAGACAAAGTCTGGAAAAATGCAACAGGACAGAAATTATTGCAAAACATATAAACATCTGATTGGAATCTTTTTATTAGTCAAACCAAATACATACATGGACAATTTCACTGAAAAAAAACCCACAAATCTAAAACACTGTCCAGCCTATTAAAGTTTATTTGACAAAAACATTTGGTTACATTATGACCATATATAGGCACATCCCATGACTATATATTGGCATACAACAGTACATTTGTCAAAGAAAACTTGATAATATAAACAGAGCTTAATACGAGCCTGTATAACATTCACCTTGGTCAAACCATTCACGTCACGTCAGAAAGTGTGAAGCCAGTTTTACACTAGGCAAATTTATTCGTGCGAATCAAAAGCGTTGATTCACTTCCTGAGCTCCGATTGGTTGCGCATTTTTTTTGCTTTGCAAAAAGTATAAACAGTTCAAACTACTGATTTTTTGCTGAAGCGAACAACTCCGATAGAAATATGAATGCGTATGTGCATGAACCGACACTATCGATTAATGTAAACCCAGCTTAAAGCCAGGCACTAACTGCACCTGATGGTAATTTTCTATTAGACCAAATAGAAACATGAATGTTCCGAATAAATTAACACCACAATTAACTCTCTACCTGTATTAATAATTACCTGGTATTGCACTTAAATCTGCCGTTTGGTGTTATCATATAGATGCTTGGAGGTTTAAATGGAAATTCCTTGGGAAACACCAATTTTCCATGATAGAATCCACCTTCATAGGGTGTGTTCTCTGGACCTAAAACCACATAGTGACTGGAAAATACAAAATGTTGTACGCTAAATAACACTGCAGACATTCAATTTGATTCATTGCCTTGATATACTGCTGTGTTGCACTAAAAAACTTGAAAAATAAAATTTAACTGTTTGAATAAATCTCCCCACAAATTGCTGAATACACACATATACTCTAGAGCAGTGTCAAGGCTATAAAGTTTCATTTGACATAAGCATGTGATATGCCTAAATATGGTCATGATGACATCACATCATGACCACATATAGGCACATCATGACTATATATGGGCTTACAACCATTTATTTGAAATTTAAAAAATACAATAATCTTGACAGAGTTTAAATGATTCCTAAATTATTTGCATTCAGAAGTCGTCATTTAAATGTTTGTAGCACTGGTTTTTTTGTTGTTGTTTAAACTTATTTGAAGCAACTACAAAACAAACAAAAATTTAACAAAGTATTTCCCAGATTTCGACATAAGCATATATAGTAGAACACATAGTTATACGTAAATTGTGAAAATTAGTAAAATTTCTAATAATACAAACCCAAATAGATTCATAAAAAATATATAAATTAGGCCATGTAAAAAAAAAAAATTGGTTACCATCCCCTCCCTACCATCCAAAATTCCACTGACCCAATTTTTTTTTTTTTTAACAAAACACTCACAAACTCCATTTAATATAGGTTAGTTTACCAACCGTCCGCATGCTAGCCAGACCACTTTCAGTTCTATGCTCTACTGTTGTTCTATAGGCCTAGGCCCACTGTAGCCACATGGCATCCATGATGCCTGTTGTGTTGGAGTGAATTGTGTGTAATTATATAGAGATAATTGCATTATGACACTGTTATTCATAGGTAAAGTTTCTGCTTGCTATAGATGAATTATATAATTTTTGTATGTAATTTTGGTCTCTATTGATTTTTTTTTTGATTTTTTTTTTTTTTTGCTGTTTTCCTTGCGACACTCTTTCATATGTTCAACGTGAGAAAAAAAAAAACCTCCCTCCCTACCATGAAAATTGATAACATAAGGATGCTAACCAATTGTTTTATTTTACATGGCCTTATGTCCTAAAAATGTACTACAGTATTTCTAAAGAAAGACATACCATTCTAAGATATTTGATGGCAGAGGAGCTGCAGTTATGTAAGGAACTGGGTCTCTAATGATGCGTGCATAGTCTTGCTTGAGACGAGCAGTCGCTGTGTTCTGTTTTCGTCTGCTCATTGTAGGATTTTCCTACCATTCGGTCATAAATCTTGACACTTTGACTGTATTGTGAAAATATTACCTGCCAAAAACAATAAATTTGTAAAATTTACCTAGCTAGGCAAGAATTGTCAGCGAGATTTAGCCCAGGATCTAGCCTTAGGCGATACTCTTTTAATACCTTGATTAGCGAACCCGCTGCCCGTCAATAATGATGATTTCAAATAAAAAAAGACTTTATTTTGGGCATCCCACACCAAGTCTACTAGCACACCAACCACCACAAAAAAAAAATGGAAATTTCAGAATAAAAAAAAAAGTTAACAAGACCTCTAGTTATTGAAAAATTCCGGGAGATGACATGCTTGCTTGCTGGAGTGCGGAGGGATGTTCCGATTTCCAGGAGATTTGGGACCTCTCGTTTTTCCGTCTTTATTTATTTATTTTTTTTTCCAATCATAGATATAGGGCCTAGCCTAGTGGTTTTGAATAATTCTTTTAAGAACATTTTCTAGAAAAAAAAATTAAGGTGATATGATTCTCCATTAAGAATATAGAATATTTTTGTTGTTTAGCATCACTGAATTAGGCTGTTTGTCTAATTAATCACTTCCCTGGCCACCAATTTAATTACATTTACAGTACTGCCCGTATGTATCTGAGGAAGTTTCTCTGATGCATCGAAAGAGCCAAACGAGTATAGGCCTCTAAGAGTTTGAGAGTTAGTCCAGGCCTAGACAGAGCTAAGCCTGCCCATAACAAAAAAATTCAAGGAGGTAGGGTCTAGGCCCCTATCTATGCTTAGCCTGGCCTGTAGAGCAGGGCTTAAGCAAGGTTATCATTTCAACTAAATAGTAAAACTAGGCCTAACTATCCTAGGCCTAGCCTGTATGTAGTATGTTATTATGTATAACATTTCTCATCCTTGAAAATCTAATAATACCTGGGCCTACAATCGAGAAGTCAATATAAAATTGACGACCAAGCCAGCACGATCTTTTTTGAAACTCTATTTAGCGAACAAATTCGTTATAACTTTTGTTATAACCGTTTTTCTAGTATCTTTGTTATAACTTCTTTCTGCCGCACTGGTTAGACCCAGCTAGCTCTTTCACAACAGTCCCGTCAATTATAAACTATTGCGTCACAAGTGCGTTTCGTAAAGAAAGGTGAGACGAATATTCCTGTGACCGCGACAGGGGAAAACTTTCGGTATCAAAAATTAATAAGTGTCCCCTTAGATAGGGGTGTCCTCAGAATAGGGTTGTCCTCAAAATAACTGACCTAAGATTTATTAGGCCAAATAAATCAGAATCAAACTTGTACTATAATTTTCTATAGGCCTACAAAGGAATTACAATTAATAAAAAATCAAATATCATGCAAATATCATATGAAACTTCAGTTCTGAATTACGGTTAAGGCCGTTGAATAATCAAAAAAGAATCTTAATATTCTAACTTGTTATCAGATCCAATGAATTATAATATATTTATATTTAGGCCTATTTTAATACAACATAAATTTAATTAAAACCGTAGTAGAAATATAATAGGTTACCGGTAGTTGTATATGTACTCAATAAATCGAATGAACCCAAAAATGTATACATGTAGGTTACCGGATAGTCCCCTATGCTGACCGCAGATACACAGAGATTATATCCCATCCAAGCGTTCGGCCCAGCAGTGGCTGCAGAAATTTGCCGACAGATCATGCATCCCTACACCAACCTGAGAGATTTGAAATGCGTGACTACTGCCTGGGGG